GTATGATAAAATACATGATTTTGTTGTTGTTGTTGCAGTTGTTGCTGTTGTAGTTGTTGATATACTTGCTGCTGCTGTTGCTTCCTTTGTAGTTGCTGTTTGCTGCTGTGCTATGATGTTGTATGCTAAAATACATGATTTTGTGTTGTTGATGCAGTTGTTGCTGCTCTTGTCACTGCTGCCGTTGTTGCTGCTATTGTAGTTGTTGATGTACTTGCTGCTGTCATAGTTGTCGTTGCTTCTTTTGAAGTTGCTGTTTGCTACTGCTGTTGTTGTAGTTGCTGTTTGCTGCTGTTGTTGTTGTTGTTGTTATGTTTGCTGCTGTTGTTGCTTCTTTTGCTGTTGTTGTTGTTGCTATGTTTGCTGCTGTTGTTGTTGTTGCTGTTTGCTGCTGTTGTTGTTGTTTCTGCTGCAGACATCTCCAGTGTTTTAGGCTCTAAAATATGTAGACTCACCTTGTAATTATTTCAAATCCTAGGAACAGTTCTTAGTCCCTGACCACAAGATCAGAGACATCAGCGGTGCCTCTTTTGCAGGCTTCTACTATATTTGTTTACAAAAATCAACTGCAACCATCGAAGGATACTATTATCATCGAAGCTCAGAGTGGTTCCAGTCACTCAACCTTACACACATTCCAGATCACAGCCAACCTATTTATGAATTCCGATAACAGTGRCACATCATTTGCCAAGTATAATGTCAAAGCTATGAAATGAAGGACTTTCTTTGTTGAGAGATATTTTATAGTGGTGAATTAGTATGTGCCGGCAGTTCTTATTAGACAGTAACRTGCCTACAAAATGAAGGACATCATAGGCATCGTCTGAGATAGRTGAACAAGGTGCATTGTGGTATAGCTTGAGTGCAAACATGTTCTTTTCATCATGACTTCTAATGTGGATCGCACCCCAGCTAGACCACAATGCACCTTGTTTGTCTAATTCAGAAAATGTCTGACACCAGTGTGCGTAGCAGTTTGGAAGGGGTGTCATAATTTAAGCCAATGTACATAGTAATAATTAATCTTACTTTAGGGAAGACAAATGATTTACTAAATTCAGAACCGTATCCTAAATTTCTTGAAATTATGAATAATGTATTGTAAAAAGCCAAGATAGATGATGATTGAAAATATAGAAAAATGGAATTGTAAATGTATTGTTTTCTTAAAAGATGATATGCAGACACCCATTTGTGGATGCCTAATATAGAGTTATTTCAGCCTTCTACACAGATGTCAACTCCTTAGGGTCATGGCGTTAGGCATTACTTGATCAGTAATAGCGCAGCACAACCRACRTCATAAAAACGAAGACAAAGGCAAAATTCAGACAAACAAACTTACAAGTTTACTTTCAGCAGATAACTTTCACAGCTGATTGCAGTTGATCTTAGTTTACATGGGTTATTATTGTAACTTTAAGTAAAAATAATAAAATCGGTTCGTATAATCCTTGTAGCGGTTAAACAGAATGCAATGTTTGTCCGAATCTTTAAGCTATTTTTAGAATCAGTGCGCTGCGCTATTGGTGCCAAAGACAGTATTGTTCAATGCCTTCAAAGTTTAACAATCAGTGATATGAGATTCGTTGTTTAATTTTTTTAATCTCTAATCTGTGTGCAGTTGAACCTGCTTTTATTTCTGACTGGGGTTTTATTCCATCTACACGTAGGCTCCTTACATCAAGTCAAGCTAATAACAATCAGAAACAGCATCAAAAATAGTAGCAATATCACTGGTCTTCTATCTAGTTGCCTTGCTTGATGTTGCCATAGTTACTGTTGCTATAGCAACATTTCAAATCTATGTTTATATTAATTTATGTTGGGTGTATGGTATATTAATAGGACTACTGGTATATTATAAGTTCATAGCTTTAAATTTTCTTTGCATAAAATGACAGGCTAAGCTACTACCATTAATATTATTATCATTATTAATAAAATACTTCGTATTTAATCTTTTTTTGAATGCCTTTGGTACTTTTCTGGAAACATTGTGTTGGTTTCTTGTGGTATGTTAGTAGACAATGATAGATCAAATCCACTGGAGTAAAAACTATATCTACCATGGACCATCGTTTTGACCTCCATCAGCGATCCCTAAATCTAGCATTAATTTTGATGTAGTTTAATCAAACTCTGCTCCTATTGTTATGCTAATGTCTCCAGGAAGAACCTCTGTCTTATGGAACCATTGGTTTGTGTCGACGATGACTAGAACAGCAAAGGATATATCAATAAAAGACAATATTAACCTACACAGTTGCCAAAAATAGCAACAGGACAGGAACTACTGTGAAAAAAGCTYGACAAAATATTTAACCCCCATCCTACAATATTTGCTAAAATCCAATAACATTTCAAGTCTCAGGGGACACTCCACACTCAATAGACYGTTTTTTCAAGATTGTGTGTGCATCCAACTTGACAGGCCACGAAACTGAAAAATGCAAATTCCATAAAATTGAGAAGCCAGGTTTACATTTAAAAAGGAGAAAAATCAATTTTATGAATTCTTATTGAAAAAAAGTTCATAGAAATGTATGGTAATTCTCATTACAAGCTCCTGTTCTGGTATCRTGGCCCGTCAAGTYCCTTAAAATTTGGATGCRCACGCAACCATAAGAAAATGGTCTGTACCGAGTACATTAAATAATCTAAGTACACAACTATCACTGGCAAGTTGATTTTTACTGAGGAAGTATATTTTGGGAATGTCCTAGATGACAAAAAACCCTCATAGCAACTAGGAAGGGAAGAACACGTCAACTGCCATGRTAAGGTCACTGATGTCCACAGGAATCAAAATCACATCCCCACCAGTAGAACTCATAGTGGTGAAGGGCAAGTGTTACAGCCTGACACCCTATATACTTACTGACTTCTCCTTTGTTAACTTGAGCCTTGAGGGTAGAACAGACATGTTCACATTCTGGTGGTGGGATGAGAGTCCATACTTTAGTYCCTGACAGTTGTGCTTGCCAAGAGGGACGCTCGACACTATCAATCTTGATATAAATAAAAACAGTGCAATAAATGAAATAATAAAATTTACATTGTGTAGTTCCAGAAAATATCCATACTCCACCATGGATATTTGTAAAAGGACTCCCCCTACTCCCATACAGTACAAACTCTGTAATGTTGTTCTTTTTCTAAGGGTAGAAATTTATTTGAGGCCATGAAACTTTAGTCTTCTTTCAACTGTAGGTGTCATAAAAGACATTTAGGGAAGAATTTTGAAAGAATTTT